TTGAAAATCCAAGCCTTAGGATATGATTTTATTAACAAAATTTAAGTACAATGCAAGGAGGGGGACTGATGTACCTTACCTCCGAACGAATTACAATAAGCTTCTACAACCTACAAATCTGCACTAGGCTAAACATGATACAAAATGCAATTACAATTAGAGACCAAATCTAAAATCAGAAAGCCAAAACTAATTAGAAACTAATCTAATAGATTCCAAACCAATTTTATCAAGATTCACAATATCTTTAATCCTTCCCTTGAAATCACTAGCTTCAATCCATTTAAATTTCCATTCACTAAAACCTTTAGCAGCAAACCAGTCAGCTGCTTGATTGCCTTCCCTCCAAGTGTGTGTGATTTTATTCTCCATTTTCTCCATAAGCCATCTAATGGATTGTAATATATATTGCACTTTCCACGGTCCATTGTTCTGTGCGATCAAAATTAGAGAAGCCTGAGAGTCCGTTTCAATCCAGACTTTCTTTATGCCATGTTTCAAGCACAATTGCAATCCCGTGTCTATAGCTCTAAGTTCAGCTTCCAATATAGAGCATTATCCATAATAGTCATAAAATCCCCAAGTTGCAATTCCCATGTTATTCCTCAAAATCCTACCACCTGAAGCCAATGAGTTCGATTTCAATGCCCCATCAGTATTCAGTTTGTGCCATCCTGAATCAGGTTTATTCCACTTAACTGCTATAGGTTTGTAACACTTGCTTCTCCCAGCCTGTCTAATCCTCCCTGCCCTATGGAGAGAATTGATTAGTACATTAACTTGTTTGATGATCCTGTCAGCCTTGATAGGATGTTGTTTGTGTTTAGCATTGTTTCTGGCTATCCAGATAAACCAGAGAATAACCAAAGGGACAATATTTCTGGCCTCCCCAGTGCTAGCATTCTTCTGCAGGAATCAGTGCATAACCATAGCCCTTGGATGACCACAACTGATATGTTGAATCTTCATGATCCTACAGAAATAGCCCCAAACTTCATTAGCAACTTAACCATCCAAAAAGACATGACTAATACTTTCAAAATTGTTGCAACATTGACATTTGGAGGCTAATTGTATTCCATATTTATTCTGAATAATTTCATCCACAGATAACCAATTCTGAATAACCAAGGAAACAATTTAAAACTGATACTAACATTAACTGTAATCCAATATTTAAAAAATAAAATAAAAAACGCTGCCGGACACGGTGTGTGTGCGGACACCAGGTGTTGGTGTCCGCACATGAGGCACCTGGTGTCCGCATCATACTCCGCACAGTGTGGAGTTTTTTTTTCTTCACACACTCCACGCCGTGCAGGGTTTTTTTATTTTTTTTTCTTTCAATACTCCGCACAATGCAGAGTTTTTTTTTTTTTTTAAATTCGGAGCATGTTTCTCCGCATTATGCGGTCCAAATGGTTTTTTTTTTTT